AACTTACTGGGGTAACTGTTGTCTCTGCTGGGGTGAGGGATCGAGTAAGTGACCGCTGACCCTGCTCGCAAGCAGGGTTATCAGATCCCATACAAGTGAACCGCATGCGCATAGCTTCTAAAAACGACTCTTATAACTAACCGTTTCCAAGATAGCAATGCAGGGCCTGTATAAGTTGTATTGATATTATCGGGGGGTAATTACACAAGTGCTTAAAAATTATCGATAATTTAGCTTGAAAGCATATTGCCTAAAAAATGCATGAGTTTATTTTCATATTTTGGAAAGAGCCCGACACCGAAGGTGGAGGGCTCTTTCCTAAAAATATGAAAATGACCGAATGCATTTTTTTAAAAGGCAATATGCTTGAATGCAAAATTATCTGATTATTTTTATGCACGAGTGTAATTTGTTTAGATAATTACACGAATAAACTAAGTAAATCAAAGAATAACATTTTCAAATATTTTAATTTTAACACAAAACTTCATTTAACATTATTCAATAATTGATTCAAATGATTCTTTACCAAAACGTGACATTTTAAATAATTGTCACATCAAAATAAAAACTGACGTTATTTTTATTAATTGCCATGGATACGTTGATACAATGGAATTATTGATTCCTAGTAGACAATTATCGCTGTAATCAAGCGATAATTGTCTTGTAGGCATATATAACAGGGTAATTATCGATAAAAGCTCTAGAAATTCTAGACTAGAATGTCGATAATTATCGATAACCTATTTTCTCGTTATTTGTTACCCCTAACCTGGCAAAAATAAAAGGTTTACACGATATCTTGATAAAGGTAATCTTTAGAAATAAAACCGATATACTTTTTTTGCTTATGCTTTTTTATATCTAATAGATATTCCTAGAAAGATATCTAGGAGGTATTTTTATAGAGACGTTGGATAAGTATTTGGAGATAGCCAAATAGGGAAAAAATAAAGTAAAACTAAAGATATGCAATTCTTTTATTTTGCACGTAGTTGCATACACAAAATAAAGTTTTTATTGGGCCATCAAATAATTCAAGCTTATAAGGCAACATTAAGCGAATATAAATTTTATGTTAATTTTAAAGAAATATATATTTAAATATATACCATAACATATATTGTTTAATGATTGGAATATGTAATATAAGTTTCTTTAACCGTTAAGTTAATAAATACTGTTGGAATTACCATTTTTTAAGTATTTGCAATAATAAGCTTGGCATGTACACAAAATAATGTAATAATAATATAACATTAAACACTACAAAATCATGTTAATATTGAGCAAATATCAATTTAAACTACTGGTTTTATCATACAAATGGCCAAATATTGAGATTGGCTAAAATTGAGTTTGAGACTTGGCGGTCTGCATTGATTTATAAATATTCAAACGATAATTAAGGAACCAGAAAAAAATCAATGAAAATAGTAAAATATTTTATTATTATTATTATTGCACTTTTACTCTTATAACATATGAGAAGCTACTCTGCAAATGCATTTTTTGCGTTTTTAGGAAGAGGTGCAGTTAGTTGCTTCAAGCTGAACTACATCGACCTACAAAACTCGCTTGGATTAAATTGTGATATTTTTCGAATTAAAGAGTCTTGAATTTCTTTAAGTTTTACATTTTGTACAAAAACTCAAACTAATTTATTGATTGAGTGTTTTGCAAAGATTTCTCCATCCTGAAAATAATATTTTTTTAGAAACTGCGTTTTGTAGAGTAGCTCGAGCTACTCATATATGTTTAGAGCAATAAAACAAAACAAATATAACATTATTTGTGTTTGTGTGATGTAATCATACAATTTAGTAACAGACTAGATGGACTAAAAGTCCAAGGCCAAAAAAATATAACATATATGTTTGGAGCAATAAAATAAAATAAAAAATAATCCGACATACCCTAAAATTGTAAAGTTTCAGATCCATATGAGGAGCCCCTCCTCATAGAGTATACCTCCTCTTTCTCCTCATTTGAATGTTTATGAAAGTCTGCAGTCAATACCTCATTAACTTTGTCTGTGAATTGGTTCCAGAACTTTCATTTAAGCTGGAGCTGACTAACAAATTACACTTGCATAATTCTTAATTAATCATTAATTACCTTAAGGTCTCATTATAATTAGAGTTGTAGCTAGGGGCTGGCCCCAGGGTCGGATACCATTGGGTAAACCTCACAGACCGCGCCTAAAAGAATCAGGTTTTTGTACAAAATATCCACTGCCAACTCACTATGAACAAAAATATTGCTAATTTTATATCTAAAGCTTAAATTACACTCTAAAGCCAGTGTAATGTTTCTCTTTCTACAAAATATGTTTTGGGTGATTTAACAGTCTTGTCCTCATGCGCTCATCACCTTAGCTACGTAGCCGTACGACTCTGATTATAATGCATCTCATATAACCATCTTACAAACAAGAATCCAGCACTAAAACACATCGAATTATCATATTATAAGGTAGGTTAGGATTCAAAACAAATTTCCTTGTATTTGCTTAGAATCGGTTACATTTGAAATTCAGTCGGTCACTTATGATTGTGACCGTCATTTACGGTCACTTATAATAGTCATTTATAAAAGTGACGCCCAACTCCAATTCGAATACTCTCAACGGGGTAGGTATGATTATATTTTTACCTCGATTTTTACATATTACATATTTTTATTCTATAATTTTTGCGGTTATTCTTTGTTGGCTACATAAGTAGCAAAAGTTTTAACTAATATTTGCATTCATTTAAAACCAAAAAACAATTTAATCAAAGTTTGAGGATACCAAAATATCGCAAAGGGGCGGGTTGCACAAAAAAAAGATTTAAAAAAGTAATGATGATTCTTTAGAGGATTAAACTCGGGATTTTTGGTTGTTAAACGGATGCTTTTCCGTGATTTCACGCCACCTTAATGATACAAACATGTATACAGGGTGGTCCAGGATTAATCTGAAAAATTGTAATAATCGATAGAGCCTGAAAAAACAATAAAAACAAACCCAAAAACATTTTTCAAAAATACACATTAACACACTAATAGCCATTCAAAGGCAAAAAAACCATTTTAAACCATTAAACCGATTCTGCTCAAATTTTGTGTAGGTAAAATTTCTTACAAAAGGCCCAGCAGCGGAGATTTTGGAGGGGTTTCCCCTTTTTACCCCCATATTTCGACACCACTGGATTTTATTGGAAAATCAACAGATTTAGAAGCAATATTTGTGTGTTAAATTTTCATAAGATCAGTGGTTTCGGAGATATTTGACTTTAAAATTTCAAAATCACCGAGTACACGGAATTTTATCATAATATTTTATTTTAAATCAGTAACTTGGTAACAATTATGCCACGTTATCAGTTTAGCAACATCGAATATGCAGATATTCATTATGTGTATGGACTATGTGATGGAAATGCGCTAGCGGAAGTTAGGGAGTACCAAAGACGTTTTCCAAGAAAATAATACCCAACGTCCAAGTTTTCATCGACACTCACCAGAGGTTTCGAGACTTTGGACTACAAAATAATAATGAACAAAATGTACGTGAACCAAGATTAAGACGACGGAATGAAAATAGGATACTGGGAACTTTTCAAAATGATCCAGGGTTGAGCTCCCGGAAAGCTGCTTTAAGACTGAATACCTCAAAGTCAAATATTCTAAGAGTTCTTCATGACGACCACCAGAAAACTTATCATCACCGCCCGGTTCAAAATCTTCTTCCTTGAGATGCAGAGAGAAGGATGGCATTTTCTAGATGGGTCCTGGAATCAGCAGAAGCAGAGCCCAATTTTGTTTCACAATCTCTATGCTTGGGCACAGGATACCCAAAAGCAATACGACAGAAGTGCTTTCAACAACAAACTTTGGATGCTGGGGGAATGCATTTTGAAAATCTGTTATAATTTGTTACAAGCTACTGTTACTGTTATAATTTGTTACCAAGTTACCGATTCAAGATAAAATATTATAAAAATAAACTAGCGTCTAGGAGACTTGCAGTTAACAAAAGTTCCGTGTACACAGTGTTTTTAAAATTTTAAACTGAAATATCTCCCAAACCACTGATCTGATAGAAAATTAACATATAAGTTTTTCTTTCACCATGTAAAGAGATAAAATAAATCTGATGATTTTCCAATAAAATCCAGTGGCGTCGAAAATATGAGGGTAAAAAGGGGAATCCCCCCAAAATCTCCGCCACTGGGCCTTTTGTGGGAAATTTTCATTATATTATCGACGGAAGCTTAATCTACACAAAATTTGGTTTAAAAATTATTTTGAAGGACTCCGTTAGTATGCATTAAAAAAAATGTTTTTTCAGGCTCTATCAATCATTAAAAATTTTCAGATTAATCCTGGACCACCCTGTATAAATATTGTTGCTGATATTTTTAAAATTTTAAACTTAAATATCTTTTTTGTGTTGATGTGTTGAGCCAAACTTTTTGCATCTTTATGTTTAACACTAACAATAGTTTCTTGTTGGCCGCAAGAATAAAAAACAACTTACTCATTGACCTTTATTGTTTGGCAAAATATGAAAGGAAGCGCTGCATATTATTTTTACAAACGCGTTGACACCATCTTAGTCGATGAAATTTGCGCACTCTGATTGGCTTGCTACAACTCGGTTAATTTTGAATTTTTTTAAACTTGGCGAAGACTAAGCTGTCATAGTTAAAAGGTTATCCAAGGCTTATGGGACTTCTTAGGAAGTAAAGGGAAAGAGAAACTTTTGTATAACTTTTATTTTTGTAAGTATTGTTATTTTTGTAAGTATCTTGTTACTTATACATTTTTTGTTTTTGATTGTTTTCACTTCAGAATTATAATTCTGTACAGTTACCTTAATGTTTAGTTTGACTGGTGTGATCTTTTAACATTTTAACATTTAAATGAGATTTAAAAAAAGTAAATAATATTGTTTTTATTAAGTAAAATAAAAAACCGTGTAGGGTTTATTAATTATTGGAGTGTTGTAGCTCTTAAACATTACACTTCTAAACTTCAGAACTTTGAGGATTTGGAGAATGTAACAACTCTTGGATTTAGAGGTGAAGCACTTAGCTCCCTCTGTGCACTTTCTAATTTATCTATAACAACAAAGTATACAAACTCTGAAATAGCAACTAAAATTATTTATGATAATAATGGAAAAATAATATCAGAAACACCAATTGCCCGGGCTCAAGGAACAACTATTACGCTTGAAAATTTATTTTCATCCTTACCAGTCAGAAGAAAGGAATTTATAAAAAATTTAAAAAGAGAATTCAACAAAATGTGTTCTTTGCTTTATTCTTATTGCCTTGTATGCAAAGGTATCAGGTGAGTATATTATTGCAATATGCATGGTTATGCATGAGGGTTTTTAAGGGTTAGACTTAATTTTTGCATAATTTTGTTGATCCTTGTTTAGGCAATTTTAATATAAGGTTATTCCTTCAAATCGATTAAGGTAAAAAATATATTTTTTTTTCATATGCTTTATTACTGGTATTTATTTACAAAAGGTTTAATTATGTGATGAGATACAAAGAAAACACAAGAGGGAAATTCTGTTTAAATTAAAATGCAAATTTATAAAAAAATGGTAAAAACATATTTTTTCCAGTGCCGTATTTTTCTTTATAAAGCCCTACCGCAATTGTTGTTTTGTACGCCACTGAGTAACCTAAAAAGTCATTGTTTTTAATTCTGCTACACTAAAACTTGTTTTTAAATCTTTATAACTTCCTGTAACTTGAAAACGAAAACCTGCAGGGCATAACCTCCATGGGCGGATTTTGGTATGGGCTTCATGGGCTGCAGCCCTGAGCCTCGCCCGAGCGGTAAAAAATTGAAAAAAGTTAAATTAAAAATTAATCTTGTTAAAATCTCAGTTCTTAATAATTCCTATTTAAATGAAAAAAATATCTTTAAAATTATATAACTCGATAACGCACCAATAAACTAAGATGATCAGAACAGATATGTTCTGGTCAATTATAAACGCTGTATAAAAATTATGTTTTATAATTTTTCAAAAGGGTGTCCATTGCGCCCCGTACTGTCCCCTATTTAGGGCTCGAGAGCGAAATTCCAATAGCTTTAATAGCCATTTCCGGGCTCGCCAGGCCGATGTTATACGCCCGGTAGGGTCATGAAGGGGGGAGGGATAGACATTTTGGTGTTTGTGAGACAATTACGCCTACTCAAATCTATGCCTTATTTATTAGGTAAACAACTGGTAAGTGAAATTATCCTGTTTTACTATTTTAGGCTCGCAGAAGACTATTACTAAAGGTTTATTGTTTATGTTAGACGATCAGTAATTGGTTTCGTGTGTTACCTACTTAAGATTTATGGGTTTATCGACTTTCGAGTCACGTCCCTTGGTCGGGTAGGCTTGTTTTTTTTAGTTTTTAAGGAGTTACATACATATGAGCTCGTAAAAATTAACGGTTTTTGGTGAATTATTTTTGGTCTATAATAAAAATTATATTAAAACGAACTATAAAGCATCGTAAATATGGAAAATTGTGGAAAATACTGCCTTGCCCCGAAACGTCTTTTTTTAAGCGTTTGCGGTGAGCATAAAATATCGAAAACCGCCAAACAAAACTTAATGAAAAAAAATCCATATTAGAACATAGTACCTATCACCCCCTTCGTGAACGAAGGGTTTTGCAAAAAAAAATGTTCACGCAAATGGCGGTGATTTTCCCAAAATAATCGATTTTCGAGGGTACAAAAATTGAGTTTTCCGGCCGAAAAAATTGAAATTTTCGTCCGAATGAAAATCCCTTCGTTCACGGAGGGGTTATAATTAGGAACAACACTTTTCAGATCTATACGATTCCGAGATTAACGCGTTTGAAGTTTTAAGTTCATTCAATTTGCCTTTAAATGTTTATGATGTAGCGCGCTATTAATTGTTATAACATAAGTTCTAATGCTCCGATCTTGATGAAATTAGTACATATTCTTAAAAGCATATATTGTAAGAATATTCAATAAAAAAAATCGATTTTTAACCCAGCACAAATGTATGTAACCACTTTGCTGTATAGGCATAAATAAAATACCTATATTTTTTGGTCTATTACGATGTTGATTTGTTTCACCTATTTTGATGTTTTTTTTTAATGTAATATTTTGTTTTTACGGATTTGTCTACTTGAGAAGGTAGAAACCCGGAGGCTTTGTAGGCTTGGTGAATTACAGAATTAAAAGTTTTTAGTATTGCAAATAGCGAATTTGCGGATGCCCCTTGTTTCCTGAGATTTATATCAATTTCCCGCCATATTGAACAGGTGGATGGCAGGGGTGACACTTTGTAGACGGTTTGATTTTCTATAAAAATATAAGTGATAAAAGAACACTTATCTGAACAGGAATAGGACGTTCCACGGAATGATTAAGAAGGGTCTGCATGGGGACGCTTCTTTATTCCCTGATGCCCTTTAACTCATCTGTGTGGCGAAACTTAAGTCTGCAATAGGCGTTGATTTCCGCAGACTTTCTGTTTTTTTGCGCTTGGTTCGCTCATTGCTCTTTTTAAAAGGAATTGTTGGACGGTGGGTTTGACGACTCATAGCGGGTAAGAAAAATGACATCTCGAACAAATTATTATATTTCTTGACTTAAATTCAGACTTGAAGCGGTATATTTTGGTATTTAAACAATTCAAAGCAGATTCAGGACAGCCTGTACTCAAACTAAAACTTGTTAAGATGGCATATATTTATCTCCTTTATATTGCTACGGTGCTACCACTACAACTTGCTTTGCTGGTCGTAGCTTTCTCTTTTTTTATTTTGGTTACAAAAGTCACCCACACACAAACAGTTGCGCTCTACACCTCGAGGTAAGAGGTCCTGTATCTAGGCTCTCGCAAAGCTCATCCCAATAGTAAAGAGCGGGGATCGAATCTCATGTCATAATCAATCATATTCTACACGTGTTCTACCAGATCCAAGTGGGAAATAAGTAAATAGTGCTAGTGGCACCCTCAACTGGATTAAGCCCCAGAATGCTCCACCAGTGAAAGTCTGGGTTATCAACCCAGTATCCAACGCGTGCTAAAAGTGGGTGGTCGAGATCAAGGGCTAACTTTACTACACCTGCCAAATGGTGTCATTGCACCTAAATTTCAAGTCTGCAAAAACCGGATGAGTAAAATTACCTTAATTGAATGACATTAACATTAACAATAATACCCAAATAGTTAATCTGCAAATAAAAATCAACTTGGAGCCATTCCTAAATAAACACTTGGCAAAACCCACAAATAACACGTTTCCAATAGTAATCTCTGTAGCCTATAAAGCTTGTTTAAAAAGGCCATAAATTAAGCACCCAACCAAAGTGTCTTGAAGTCAGTACTTGGAATGAACAGTTGAATTTACCACGAAGGCAGAGCGGCATTACCAACAACCCCTCGTGGACGGCAATAAAAGATGTAGTTTTTGCACAGTGGGACAATCAATTTTTGTATAGCGGTTTCCTAATTTTCAGCAGAGACATGTCTCCGTGTACGGAAGCAGACGAATAAAAAAATACCTCAATTGAATGTGGATGTTACTAAACCCCTGGTCTACAGGGATTCCGGATTGTACTTGTAGTTTAAGGTCAGTTTATCGTCCCCCAACCCTGCTTAAAATACCCCATAGAGAACTATACAAAATAATCTATCGGGCGCTACCGGATTCAATATGTGCATTTGTCCAAGGTTTTTTCCGTGTACGGCCCGATAGAAAATTTATAGGAAATTACCTATAGGCACACCATAACTTTTACATTTTCCCTTTTGAGACCGATAGCAAATAACTCAATGAAGGATATATAGGGATATCGCTATAGAACAACCATAAAACATTTGACAAAATTTTATTAAAACCTATGGGGTCCTATGGGGAAAAACTAATTTCTACATTTATGTGTATTTTCCCCATTGAAACAATAGCAAATAAATCAAGGCTGGATATCCCTATAGAACAACCATAAATCCCAACTATGGGTCCTATACATACGGATACACCCTATAGAAACACCATACATTCCGATACAAATATCTATCGGTCTGAACAGGGTCTCTATGGGGTATTTTAAGCAGGGAACCAAAAGGTTTTCTCCCCATGTCCCAAACTCCACTAAATCCCTAAATCGGGCGTATAGCCGGCCTGGCGACAAAATTACAGGAGGGGTCTTAACCATCGACACTGTCGACCAGCCGGGGTGAAATTTCGTATCCACCAAACAAGAATTACGGTTCAATTATTGACATAGTCGCCGCGCCAAATATTTTCCGTAGGATCATCAATTTTAAATGTCAAAAACAGGTTTGTTGATATGCGTCCGGCTTAATAAAACATAAAAATGGTTCAAGGAAGATGTAGTACCCTGAGTTTTAAGAAAAAAGTAATTTTTTATTAAAAATTTTGATTGTTAAAAAAATGAATTAAATGTACAGGGTGCTTAGAAGTTGAGAAAACATGAAAATGCTTTAAGAGATATATTATTTTATGGAAAAGTTTTATAAAGGAAAGTTGTTGACAATCCAAATTAAAGTCTAAATAAAAAATAAATGTTTTTATTTTAACATTTCATTTTATTTATTTCACAACACTCTGCGCCATGAATAACAGCATTATATTCCTATATATTTTCGCGTCTTGGAGGATTTTCATGTTTTCTTAATTTCTGAGTAGGAACCCTGTACATTTGATTCAATTTTTTTATAGAAACCTCATTTTTTAAACAAGCAAGAGTTTTTATGAAGAATATTTTTTTTCGTAAAAGTCATAATAAATAATAAAAAATTTTGTAATTGACAATCCGATCCAGGGACACTGTAGAAAAAAATTCTGACGTGCAGGGGCTAAACTGACCACTTCTCTTTTTGTGGGGCTGTGTAAATAATTTTTTGTGCTCACAGCAGTCAGAATGTGAAATATTTTTGTAATTTTTATATTTTAATTTATGTTTAAATTGGGTGAAGAAAACATTTACGTTAAAAAATGGAATATAATCTTAAATAAATTCCTGTTGGTAGTTACTTTTAATTGTTCTGAGTTCCTGTCTTAGAGACAAGGGAGAGTGATGCGATTTCTTGAATGCGAGATTTGGTTATAACCAAACCTTATATCCAAGCTTTATGGGCGGTCGCATATGGGTTTCAATGTAAAATTGTAAAATCGATTCGTATCCTAATCGATCTTCCTATAATGCTCATCTTTTAACAACATTTTTTTCCCACCTAAAGCCACTATTTCAGATGTGTCCTATAAATATCCAAATTTTATATACATTTATATTAATTAATTAAGCGCATAAAAAACTGTATA